ATGAGACCGTGTGTTCCCTCCACATCGGTCTTAATCACAGTTAAAGGTAACAGGTTGCATCCAACAGAGTCCACTCAGCTGATGGTTAGGCTTCTTTCTGTCAGTGCAATAGGGAGGCAATCCGTTTTCTGTGATTCCCCCTGCAGCCCCCCAACTCACATCCTAACTCTGCTCCAGAGGATTGGGAGGCCACAGCAGACTTGGGGGGGGGCTGCAGGGGGGCGAGGCAGTAGCTGGAAATTGCTTCCCTCCCTGTTCCCACTGGAAGTCTTACCATCAACTGAACAAAAACTCTGGATCCAACCCAATGTCGGTACAAAGCTTAGCTGTGACTAATACAAGGGGGTTTGCTTTTAACCAGAAATTTGGCTTTAGCTGGGAAACAGCACACCCTTGTTTTAACATTAACCACTGTTGAGATTGGGGCCAACGCAAACTATAACTGTGAGTCAGGCCAGCAGAAGGGGAGGGTGGGAGGAATTTGCACCCCAAAAAAGTACAGACTGAAGAAGGGAGTGCAATTGCACATTCTGCTGTGGATCCCTTGACCATGGTTAAGAGATCAGGAGCATTATGTTGGCACCGCCCTCAGTAGTTTAATTGTCAGCAATAATTCAATGCATATACAAAGGAAGAATTCCTTCCTAAACAAAGCAAGCTTTTTGCACTAATTTTTCCCATTGTCAAATGGAAGACTAATGAGGCAGTGGGTCACACACTTGCTAAGCTGCCACAACCAGTTGCAACATACAGTAGACAATGCATGGACTTGTTCTCTTCATTCACATGTCGCTGTATGTTTAACTCAATGTGATGAATAAATCTCTAAAGTCTTCCTTGTGAAAGTTAAATATCCTCCTTAAAACAGTAAACAGCTTGAGTGGCTAGTGCCAAATTACAAACAGGGAAATGGGCTGGCGGGGAGTGAAGAGCCATGTGTGTAAAAACACCATCTCAAATTTAAAATAGAAAAGAAATATACAGGAATGGTAGTTTAGTTCACAGCCTAGACTGAAACAGCACTAACAAATGAGGTAGATAAGAAAATGAAACTTGAAATGTAACATGGAAAAGCAACTCAGCTGGAATACAACTGAAAAATCCACCCAGTTATTAAAATGATACATTCCATTAATATCATACAAGCTTAGTCTCAAAGCATCACAGCAGAAAAAGTGCCTTTTAAAACCCAAAACCAAATTCACAGTTTGATCCTTGTCAGGATTCAGGTTTGAAAGAACAACAAAATGTAAGGAGGGGGGGGGACTGGATAGTAAATGTTCTGCATTAAATGTAGAGATTCAAAACCCAACATATAAAACATACCAAATATTTTTCCTGTTTTGTCAAACGTACATTTCAGTGCCTCTCTCCATTTTCTAGACTGTGGTTCACTCAGGTCTCCACAGCTGCAGAGATGGGAGTCAGGTCAAGTTTGTCTTTATTTCCTCCAAAGTTTGAAGGCGACGTGAGAAGAAGCATCATTGCCCACTGTGCACTGATTCACCACCCCCTCTACTGTCACCGATGGTCAAACAGGCTTTGGTTATGTTTCAAAATCCCACAAACACATGTTTAACCAAAGAATTGTGGGGCAGGAAAAAAAATCACGCACACTTAAGGGCAACAATGGCTCCATCACACCCTGGTATGGACTTATCCTCTGATTTCTGGCCACATATGGCAGGAAACCAGATGTTACAAAGTACACATGGCAGCCCCACATACTCTACAAAAAGAATATGTGAGCACAATGATGTCACATCACATGTTCCTTTGCCAGAGGTTATGGAGGAGAGGGGTGGCGGTTCTTTGGGGCAGCAACCACTCACCCTACGTAATCCTTAATTCCATCCTAGCTTTTAATGCCACAGACAGTGGTGTAAGCACTGGCGAACATAGGTTACTTCATGACCACCATTTTCATTCCATTATCAGAAGTGAGACAGACGAACAAACCATGTCAGGATTTGCAAAAGGGAGCCCCCTATTGTCAAATGTGAAGCAATGGCTCTGGGAACTCCGAGCAGCATGGAATGGTCAGATGGCTCAATGCACAAGACACAACGTGAGATTTACAACAATAAGCAGGAAACCTTGATTGGACCAATGGAACCCTGACACATGAACACCAGTGTTCAAGGACACATGCTTGCCATTTGCACTGTGCACGTCTGCCACAAAAAACACTGGTGTACCACTGGTGTACCCAAGGCACACACAATTGCTGGGGGGAATAAGGCCCTCTACCATTTCCTAGCAGATTTGTGTTTTCAAGGCTTTCAAGTTGGCTAACTTGGCAACAGTTTTCAAAGACAGCACACAATTCCATGCTTTCCTACAAGTTATCCTAACTAGAAAACATGTATTTGTAGTCAAAGTGTCTGTTTTAAAAGAGATAGCAGGGGAACATTTTTTAAAAAAACAAACAAACAGGATTGTGTTTCTATTTTGCAAAAAAGAAAGAAAAAAATACATAACACTGTTCTCTCAGTTCTTCAAACTGAACCCCCACCCCAAAGTATATATAATTCAGCTGCTGCAGATCCTAATGAGAGATGCAGCAATGCGCTGTTTAAACATCATCAAACTTCAAAAGACTAGAACTACTTTTTTTGACTTTCCAGTAAAAATCTGAAAAGATACTAAAGATTATCTATCACAAGGCACTGCAAATCTTTGCAGGCAGAACAAGGAGGCTGCATAATGCATGGGAAACAGGATCTTTTGTTCATGGTGGGGAGGGAAGGAAAGCCACAAAACTTCCAGAGGCTCCCAAATTCACTGGAGCTTCAAGTGTCCCTTTGAGAGGCTGAGTTCAAACAAGTAGCTTGTCTCTGCAGCTACTAAAAAAAAGGGGGGGTGGGATTACAGGTAGGCCCAAACCAAAGTACTCTGATTTATTTAATCCCATCATTTTAAACAGGATTTATCTAGTAGAATTCCAAATAACTTTACTGTAGAGAAATACAGCCTCCCTCCTCTTCAATCTCTAAATATTCATCAGCAAAGCAAGCCAGCTTCCATGTTCAACAGCATTGCAAATCTCTTACAGCACTCCGAAGACAAACATTTAACTTTGTTAACTCAAAGTGAACCAGAGCTTGGAACCAGTTCCCTGACATATCAGTCCAGATATATCAAGGGAGAAAACAGGTCAAGGTGTGCATCAGGAATATATTTCAAGGATTCTGGGGTCCAAAAGAATCAACTGCTACATGAAATATTACCTTGAAAAAAGTTTAAGACTATAAGTCTTATAGTCTTAAGACTCAGTAAATTAAGATCTCCATAGTCTATGGCCCAGTTCACATGTAACATTAAATAATAGTTTAAAATAAACTATGGTTTAAAACACAGGGCTATATCATGCAAGGGAGGAAACAAGCCAGAGTCTGGCTTGTTGTGATGTGTGAATTCGGTTTGTGGTTTGTTTCCTGCAGATAAATCATGTGGTAAGCCAAGAATAAACCTTGGCTTCTATTCTCTGGGCAGAAAAAAACCCATAAGTGAGGATTCACATGTCACATCATGATAAACCAGCCTTCGCCTTATTTCCTGGCTCTACTGTCAGGGATGGGGGAAGAGCAAGGTACTAATATAGGCTAAACCATAGTTTAAACTATAGTGCAATGTTGCATTGCCCTTGGCCCAACTGACTTAGTCTCCTGCAGAGATCAACTTGCAAGCATGGTCCTTATAGGGCAGCTGAAATATAGTTTATAAAATAAGGGGGTTATGTGGGGTACAAGACTCCAGCAGGAAATGGACTTTCATGCATGTAACCTGTTCAGCATAGTTTTAGATCTCTTGCTATTTTTGAACAGGCACATTTTTCTCTTTAAGTCAGAAAACCAGAAAGCCTGTCACAGTGGAACCTGGCACTACTTTCTTGCCATCATAAATGCATGTACAACCTATTCAATTTTCAAAAGTTCTCCGTAAAGATGGGACTTCTTAATCTTGGCAGTAGGTGACCAAAGCACAGCAACCACTTAGGTATTTTATGCTGCAAGAGACAACACTAATCAAAAGCAGGAGCATCTATCCATTCAAATCCACTGTAAGGCAGTCAACTCGATGCAAAACTCTGTGCACCTGTTCCAAGCATAACTTTCAGTCCTTAAAACTGTGAAGTATGGATCATAAAAGAGAGGCAAAGGGGTGGGATGGGAGATGTTTTTAAATACCATTTGGCTATTTCCCACTCTGTTCCCACCCTTTCTGCAGCTTCCTCTCCACCACAACAAACTAACTGCAAAATAAATTTTTAAAAAGCTACATCCTCCAAACTCAATACTATGTTTAGTCCGACAGCCCCAAAGGATCCACTGAATGTCATGTGCGTATGAGGATTGAGCTGCCATTATATAAACAGCTGTACTAAATTGCTCAAGAACAACTACAAGCCTTTCAGTAACAGGTAATAGGTGGCATTTTTGTCTCTTCCTTCAGTGGTCCTCCAACTGTAAAAGGCCTGTCACTTGGAGTAGGAGAGGGGAGAATTTAAGACAGGATTCCGTGACAGCAAATCTTTCTGCAAATAAAATCCGTTCCCCCCCCCCCCCGTCAATGAAAGCTGCCAATGAAACCAGACAGAAATGTAAAATTAAAAGAGGATCCAAAGTGTCACTTTCCCTGCTGCTCCCACTCCTTCAATAAATTAACTCAAATGCCAGTATGTGAACAATTTAAAAAGGGTTGCTATCAGCCTCAAAACTCAAGGGACCTGGGGCCAGAATGACAGGGAAGTGTCATTAATAAGCAGCACATGGGCATGCTGTCCATCTCAGGAACAATGAGATGCACAGGCCAAAGCTCTCTCAAGTATGATATAAAAAAAATCCCCCAAAGAATATTATATCAAGTATTCAAATAAGAGAATGCACAGGCAATCTCCCACCACATTGCTGCTCTGGGGAATTCACCCCAAAATCCAGGCCGCAGAATGCAAGGCAGAGGAATGGAATCATGAGTTATAGGCACAGTCCCCATATCTATCATCCTTTTAGCTGTCCGCCTTCATTTGGGACTTGGGGGATGGGAGCTGGGTTTTGCACAGGTGATGCTGGAAAGGCTGGCATGCTTATCCCTGGCTGAAATGGTCCCACAGGCTGGGCAGGGACAACAACAGACTGCTGGGCTGTCCCTGAAATGCCCACCCATTGCACTGGGTAAGTTGTCCCTGTCATGGTGTTATACTGGCATACGTGGGGTACTCCATATGGCGACAGTGTGCCGGTAAAGGGGGACAGGGGAAGTCCTTGGGGCAAAGCAGCTGGTACGGTCCCTCGGATCTGGGAAAGCGAGGAAATCCATGTGGACGTGTAGCCCACTGTAGATGTTGTCGTCTTTAAAAACAAAAGAAACAAGAAACTTATTATTGTGATGATGACAATATTAGTATTATTAAAATGTGTATACTGCCCTATACCTGCAGGTCTCAGGGCGGTCACAACTTAAAAACACAAAATGCATCATAGAAACAAAAACAACCCAATAACCACCCCGCCCCCCCCACATTTTAACAGGGCATGTCAATCAGCCAAAAGTCTGGTTAAAAAGGAAAGTTTTTGCCTGGCGCCTAAAGGTGTACAGTGGTGCCTCGCAAGACGAAATTAATTCGTTCCGCAAGTTTTTTCTTCTTGCGAGTTTTTCGTCTTGCGAAGCACGGTTTCCCATAGGAATGCATTGAAAATCAATCAATGCGTTCCTATGGAGACCGTCCGGGGACAGAGGGGAAGCGCCGCGCCTCCCCATAATGCCTGGGTTGTGAAAATGATTAAGTGGGGGTGGGGAGCAAGGTCACCCCCAGCAGGACAACAGCTAAGGTATCTCAGCTTGCACAAGCTCACCCTTGTGAACTTTATTTTATGAAATCCCACCCCCCCCTCACCTCATATACTTTGCTCCAGCTGTCGGAGTCCAGCCGATGCTTGTTCTGTTTGATCTGGTTGAGACTTGGCTTGATAAGGGAGTTCCCCACCTTTTCTTTTGTCCAGTCGTCCACCAGTTTGTGCAAGTCATCTGTGAACATCCCTTTCTTACTGGACGTCGTCTGCTGACAAGAAGCAGTGCTGCTGACGATGCAGAGCTGGTCTAAGGGAGTGGGAAATATTTTAAAGCACATTACAGAAAGCAGAAACAATCCGTAAAAATGGGATGTGCCGTTTGGGTCTCTTCCCACAGGGTAGGGCAGCAGCGTAGATTGCGTGGCTGGTGTGGGTACATGTGCCCCGGAGTGGAGTGTGCGTGAACAGAGCCCTCACCCAGCCCACACCACTAATGCCGCTGGAGTGCCCTCCCCCTGCCACCAAGTAGGGCTGCGCTGCGCCCCTGCCACCTGCAGCCCTTGGAGGGCGCAACGCACATATACCCTAAGGGCGCACTCTGCCTTCCAGCTCTGCGCCGCTTAGCGATGCTGCAGTGCTGCGTGAAGCAGTGGCGTCGCAACCGGGGGGCGTTGCGCCCCAGGTGCCATGTCAGGGAGGTGACAAGAAGGCACCCCGCGGGTGCCTCTGCTGCAGCTGCAAGCAGAGGATTCCAGTGTCGGCAGCAAACTGCTATGTACAGCATATGTGCGGCGTCGCATGCATGCGCTGTACGTAATGCGTGTAGAGGATCTTCCGTTCGCAACTGCAGCCGCGAGCAGAGGATCCCGGCACCGTCCATATGGCGCTGGAGCGGCGCCGCTGACAAACCACTATGTACAGCGTATGTGCAGTGTCGCTACATGCAGCGCATGCATCGTACGTAGTGACGCCGCACATGCACCCTACGTAGCGACGCCCTGCCCCAGGTGTCACACGCCTTCGTTCGCCCCTGGCATGAGGAGGATGCAACAGGCATGCACCCTGAACAGGGAAGGGCACCTGTCTGTTGCGTCTTCCTCCCACAGTCCTGCAGCATCGCAAAACAGCGCTGGGCTGGCAGGACGGTGAGGAGCAAAATGCCCGCCCCAATGCGCCCGAGGTCACTGCCCCTCTGGCCCTTCCCACGTGATGCCACTGGGCGAGGGGAAGAGCGATCATGAGAGGCAGGACCGTGGTGCTGAACTTCAAAAAGTACATATTTCCATAGCAAAGAAAATCAGATTTGCGCTCTGAGTAAGCCTTGCCACTTCAACAGATTTGCATATATAAGCTTATTTTATTTTATCTCCAAATGTAGGTTGCCGTTTAATTTAGATTTGCTTTTAAATCAATGACAGGAGGAGCAGGGGAGAGAAAAAACGAGGGGATTTAGGTTAGGTGGCCTGGCCATAGTTTAGAGCAGGAAATGGCAGCTGGTTGTGAAAGAGGGAGCTAGGTAGGTCAGTCCTACCCAATGGTGGGAAGGTTTGCCCAGAGGCTCCAGTTTCAGGGCTTCTGAATACATTAAACCTTTAAAGCACATCCCCCCCCCCCGAAATAATTCTGACACTGTAGTTTACCCCTGACAGTTACAATTGACAGCAGCCATTAAACAAGCTGAGATTTTTTTGAGAAGAAAAATGTGTTTTAAAGGTTTAGCCTGTGTTACTGCCTTCTTATTTCCCAGATTCTCAGCTTCACCATTTACACAGCATCAACACTACATTGACAGGATGAGCAGAAACAAGTGAAGTGGAAAGAGGTGCATCCCCCAAACATGCAAAGATTGGAAGCCACAGAAGTTTGCGATCTCCTGCAATGCCTCTACAACATGTACTGAAGTATGTATCCCCTTTTCAAACCCTAGATGTTTACGGCAAATACTGGTGCACCAAAAGCACTGTATAAAATATGAATCGCCTCTCAGTCATGGCAGCTAGAAACTTGTTTTTACACTCTCTCTCTCTCTCTCTCTCTCTCTCTCTCTCACACACACACACACACACCACAATGCTAGCTATCAGGTTCTGTGTTTGCATGGTGAAGTTGCAGAGATGTCATCTACCAACAGGAAGATATTAAATATAAAGCATTGGCATTTCAGAAGAGAAGAATGGAATGTGCAAATACCTTGGCTAGTCTCTGCTTGTGAACAGCTCTGGTGCAGCAAATGGGCCTGAATGCTCAACTGATAGTCTATCACAGAGGCAGCAGTGGTAGCACAACAGCATTCTGTAAGGCGAAGGAAAGTTTGGGGGGGGAGGCACATGATTAGAGGTAACAAAACTATGGGGTGGGAATGGAGAAGATTACAAATGAATGGATCTGTATCCAAGGGTAATATTTACAAAGTTGTCTCAGGGATTTGGGCATCCAACTAGTGACTCTTGTCAAGAGATTTTTGAAAAGTTCAGCTCACCAGGGCAAAACACAACAAAGGAAAGTGGCAATGGGAAAGCTCTCTAGACTTTTGCTGCATCACGTGTAATGAGCCAACAAGGGAAATAATATAGAATTCCCATGGCAAAGAATGCAAAGTGGAAAGGAAAGCTTATCTTGTGAACCAGACTCTTTCATGCATTTGTGAACTTTAGACTTTTCTTCTACATTAAGGAACCCTTCACCTTTGACAATTCCCTACACCGGCACCCATATTCTGAACCACCTCCCACTCCCATCTCTTACCGGGAGCAACGATGCCATTGTCAACATGCGACAGAGACTGTGGCCTGCTACGCAGCTTGCTTTTGAAAGACTTGGGCCGGCGTGGAGACGACAGTTGCAGGGAGATGTCAGAGGATTCTGACCTGCTATCTTTGATGGAACGCAGTCGCTCATACAACTCCTGCAGCTCCCTGTTCTGTTGAGCCTGAAGGTTCACTACCTCCTGAATGTGTCTACACAGAAGAGGAAGAGAACAAAGCCTTAGGACAAAGCCAAGCCATGGCTTACTCTATACCCCCCTCAGCAGCAACTTGACGCAGGCAAGGGGTGATGGACCAGCTGTGAGACTTTCAGCCCAGGGAGCAGGCAAAGACTTTGATTGTGCTAAGGTTCAGGGTTAGGAGCTCCTTTACTTTCTCCTCACTCACATGGGTTGCTGTGGGAGGTGTGAGCCAAAAGGACTTCTTGACCCATGCAGGGCTCCTCCCAATTGGCTCAGCAGTTCCTAAGTCTGCCCGCCCCCCATTTGTAGCATTGGATTGTACTCTTTATTGAGACCTGGGACACACAGCATGTGAAACTTAAGCTGCTCCACAGGTGAGGGGTTTTCCTGCAGCCCATGTGTTCCTGGTATATATGACTATGGACTCAGCTAGACTGGTAAAGAAAAAGCATTTTATATGCGTTGTATATGCAATCTGACACTGTGACACCAGATGGCGCTGTGGAGTCCTGTCTTTCCCTACCGGATTTCCCTGTATGAGTTTGCAACGCGTTTAACTGACAATCGCTTCTTTGACGTGTCTCAATCCAGCATATGTCTTGAAACTGAGGGAAGCAAATGTCCCACAAGGTATCTGCTTCCTGTTTGCTGCTATGGCTAAATAGTCAGGGAACTGTTCTGTGGCGTCTCCAGTGTGGGTTCGTGTGCACAAGCTCCCTGTCTTTTGCCTCTGCGATGACTACTGCTGGCTCAGGCATACTAAAAGTGCATGGGAGTCATATTCCCCTTGTTGGGGCATGCATGCTCTTGCATCTCTCGTTCCCAACCATATTCCCTACACTGTGAGTTACTGGAGGCTGCTGCTGTCAATGTGTGGCTGTGGCTCCTCTTGGGCCTATCCTGCCTCCTTCCCTTTCCCCAAGTGGCAAAAATGCTCTTTTTCTCCTTTGGTGGCCTTGAATTCTCGTCCCTTTTGCAGGCGTTCTCCCAAGGCAGCAGTTTGGATGTTGTGTTATATGGGCTTCCTCTTCCTTTCTTTTGTGTTGTGAAGAAAAACAGTACTTGTCAGCAGTGTGCAGTGTAAGAGGAAACTGGACTCCTCTGTTCAGGGATGCCTGCGGCTCTTGGCCACTCACACAGCAGAAGGTGCTGGGACATCATTGTATATTTGTATTGTATTGTATATTTGGCAGACTGCATGCTGCGGGTGGGGCACGGGTGCAGCAGGGGTGCCTCTATGTCAGCCATAAGTCAGTTGCGCTCTGTCGGGTGGCCATAGGGCATTTTAGCCACATTGGCCACAGATTAAATGTTCAGGTGCAGGCGGCATTGCCATGGCTGCTGGGGGTGGAGCTGCCTGCTGCTCCACCCTACTCTTTTCAGAGCCATGTGTCCCCACCCACCTTCTGTGACGGGCAAGGGTTGGATATGGCAAATGTTGTGCCAGTTTAGTGGCAGCTTCCCTGTCTCCCTAGGGTACTAGAGGATAAGGTTGCTCTGCCCTACTTCTACTTAATATATCACACATCTATCGTAAAGGGCTGCAGTGTTTAATAGATTCACCTAGACTGACGTATTAATTAACTTTTTTGCTTGATTAAAAAGCTGCCCCTTTGGCTAACCAGGCAAAATATTTTGTAAAGGTAATTATTTGTAAGGTAAGTACTTACAACTCTGTGGCTGAAAAGTTCCTTCTTAGAAGAGGCATTGCTCCTTCTCTCACCCAGAAGGGAAGGCCACTTCTAAAGATGAAGACTACTATGATGCAACTATACATAATCTAAAAGAAGAAGAAATAACGATTCCCCCCTTCAGAATTAGTTTCCTTCATATGAAAATTTATGTAGATTCAGTTACATTGATTGGTTTGTATGACAGATCACCTGAGGAATTCCGTCATCAAATGGCCATCCAATCTGGCTTGCTAAATAGTGGCAGAATCATTTGGAAGTGAGCAGAACTCAAGGACTTACCGAAGCTTCGTGTTGATATTATTCTAACATTCAAAATCAAAAAAGCGAATGTAATGGAAAAACAAAAGAAAGTCTTACTCTGCCCAACCCTTTTCACCTTTTTGATCGCCTCCGTTATAATGAGAACCTGACGGAATATGTTACAAGCCCCCATTTTAGTGCCCTTATCTTGTCCCGTAAAGACGCTTGCGTTCCACCTTCAGGTCCTGCATGGCAATCTTTGCAGGCAGAACAAGGAGGCTGCATAATGCATGGGAACAGGATCTTTTGTTCATGGTGGGAGAGAAGGAAACCACAAACTTCCGAGGCTCCAAATTCACTGGAGCTTCAAGTGTCCTTTGAGAGGCTGAGTTCAAACAAGTAGCTGTCTTGCAGCTACTCCAAAAAAAGGGGGGGTGGGATTACAGGTAGGCCCAAACAAAGTACTCTGATTTATTTAATCCATCATTTTAACAGGATTTATCTAGTTGAAGTCCAAATAACTTTACTGTAGAGAGATACAGCTCCTCCTCTTCAATCTCTAAATATCATCAGCAAAGCAGCCAGCTTCCATGTTCAACAGCAATGCAAATCTCTACAGCACTCCGAGGACAAACATTTAACTTTGTTAACTCAAAGTGAACCAGAGCTTGGAACCAGTTCCCTGACACTATCAGTCCAGATATATCAAGGGAGAAAACAGGTCAAGGTGTGCATCAGGAATATATTTCAAGTATTCTGGGTCCAAAAGAATCAACTGCTACATAAATAATTACCTTGAAAAGTTTAAGACAGTAAGTCTTATAGTCTTAAGACTCAGTAAATTAAGACCTCATACATGTCTATGGCCCAGTTCACATGTAACATTAAATAATAGTTTAAATAAACTATGGTTTTAACACAGACATATATCATGCAAGGAGGAAACAGCCAGAGTCTGGCTTGTTGTGATGTGTGAATTCGGTTTGTGGTTTGTTTCCTGCAGATAAAATCATGTGGTAAGCAAGAATAAACCTTGGCTTCTATTCTCTGGGCAGAAAAAAACCATAAGTGAGGATTCACATGTCACATCATGATAAACCAGCTTCGCCTTATTTCCTGGCTCCACTGTCAGGGATGGGGAAGAGCAAGGTACTAATATAGGCTAAACCATAGTTTAAACTATAGTGCAATGTTGCATTGCCTTGGCCCAACTGACTTAGTCTCCTGCAGAGATCAAACTTGCAAGCATGGTCCTATAGAGGCAGCTGAAATATAGTTTAAAAATAAGGGGGTTATTGTGAGTTACAAGACTCCAGCAGGAAATGGACTTTCATGCATGTAACCTATTCAGCATGTTTAGATCTCTTGCTATTTTTGAACAGGCACTTTTTTCTCTTTAAGTCAGAAAACCAGAAGCCTGTCACAGTGGAACCTGGCACTACTTTCTTGCCATCATAAATGCATGTACACCTATTCAATTTTCAAAAGTTCTCCGTAAAGATGGGACTTTAATCTTGGCAGTAGGTGACCAAAGCACAGCAACCACTTAGGTATTTTATGCTGCAAGAGACAACACTAATCAAAAGCAGGAGCATCTATCCATCAAATCCACTGTAAGGCAGTCAACTCAATGCAAAACTCTGTGCACCTGTTCCAGAGCATAACTTTCAGTCCTTAAAACTGTGAAGTATGGATCATAAAAGAGAGGCAAAGGGGTGGGATGGGAGATGTTTTTAAATACCATTTGGCTGTTTCCACACTCTGTTCCCACCCTTTCTGCAGCTTCCTCTCACCAACAACAAACTTACTGCAAAATAAATTTTTAAAAAGCTACATCCCCAAACTCAATACTAAGTTTAGTCGACAGCCCCAAAGGATCCACTGAATGTCATGTGCGTATGAGGATTGAGCTGCCATTATATAAACAGCTGTACTAAATTGCTCAAGAACAACTACAAGCCTTTCAGTAACAGGTAATAGGGGGCATTTTTGTCTCTTCTCTTCAGTGGTCCTCCAACTGTAAAAAGGCCTGTCACTGTGGGTAGGAGAGGGAGAATTTAAGACAGGATTCAGTGACAGCAAATCTTTCTGCAATAAAATCCCCCCCCCGTCAATGAAAGCTGCCAATGAAACCAGACAAAATGTAAAATTAAAAGAGATCCAAAGTGTCACTTCCCTGCTGCTCCCACTCTTTCAATAATTAACTCAAATGCCAGTATGTGGACAATTAAAAGGGTTGCTATCAGCCTCAAAATCAAGGACCTGGGGCCAGATGACAGGGAAGGGTCAATTAATAAGCAGCACATGGGCATGCTGTCCATCTCAGGAACACATGAGATGACAGGCCAAAGCTCTCTCAAGTATGATATAAAAAAAATCCCCAAGAATATTATCATCAAGTATTCAAATAGAGAGTGCACAGGCAATCTCCACCACATTGCTGCTCTGGGGAATTCACCCAAAATCCAGGCCGCAGAATGCAAGCAGAGGAATGGAATCATGAGTTATAGGCACAGTCCCACTCTATCATCCCTTTTAAGCTGTCCGCCTTCATTTGGACTTGGGGGATGGGAGCTGGGTTTTGCACAGGTATGCTGGAAAGGCTGGCATGCTTATCCCTGGCTGAAATTGTCCACAGGCTGGGCAGGGACAACAACAGACTGCTGGGCTGTCCTGAAAATGCCCACCCATGCACTGGGTAGTTGTCCCTGTCATGGTGTTATACTGGCATACGTGGGGTACTCCATTATGGCGATAGTGTGCCGGTAAAGGGGACAGGGAAGTCCTTGGGGCAAAGCAGCTGGTACGGTCCCTCGATCTGGGAAAGCGAGGGAATCCATGTGACGTGTAGCCCACTGTAGATGTTGTCGTCTTTAAAAACACAAAGAAACAAGAAACTTATATGATGATGATAATATTAGTATTATTAAAATGTGTATACTGCCCTATACCTGCAGGTCTCAGGGCGGTCACAATTTAAATCACAATATAAAAACACAAAATGCATCATAGAAAACAAAAACAACCAATAACTGCCCGCCCCCGCCCCCCATTTAACAGGCATGTCAATCAGCCAAAATCGTTGGTTAAAAGGAAAGTTTTTGCCTGGCGCCTAAAGGTGTACAGTG